AAACGAAGATTTGAATGAAAACTTGGATCAACATGGCAATGAGAAGGGTAATTGAGTTGATACAGATAAGGGATTGACTTGCATCAAGAATGTTATCGTTTATATGATGATTTTGATATTATTTTCGGGGTTTATGTGGTCAATGGTATATTGCATGTAATAAGTAAAGGAGTTCAAGTGGGTAAGGGTCACAAAAGTGGCATACAACATAGGGTGAGGCATCATCCGTTTTGCGGGTAGTCTGCAGTCACTGTATTTGAACCTTTGTGGTCACAAAAGAAATTTTATTCCTTCTTGAAATTCGAACATGAGACCTCTAGACACTTTTGATCTTTGGAGTCCAAGCTCAAATCAATTGGCACCACCCTTGTGGTTAAAAATGTGAGTTGTAAAAAAATAAATTTTAAGCAGAAATATTTAAGTATCAAACGGGTCGTTAACTTTTAATTTATCCTGTTTAATTATCTAATTTTAACTATGATTTTGAACACCATAATAAATAATCACTTCAATACAAACTTTATGAGTAAATTACGTTTTTTTTTGTCTTTGCAGTTTATTAACAACCGCGACTTTCTTCTTTATAGATTTCGAAATTGCATACGGTTTATAATTTATTGTCGTTTTCGCCTTTGAGGCTAACTCATAAGCCGTAGTTTTAAGTATGCGAGACTAAGCAACAAAGATCTTAAACCATACGGACGAAACGACAATAGATTGTAAATTATAAGAATAAAAACAACAACGAATTATAAATCAAATGAGTGAAAACCGTAATTTTACAAATTACAATAACAAAAATTGTGATTTTCAAATACTTTATAAAACGTAATTTACTCTAAATCTTATTCAGACTATTCTATTAGTTCCTCGATTTAATATATATATATATATATATATATATATATATTCATGTATTTTTTTAAAGATAACAAGTTTTTTTCCCCAAGTTGATATTAAAAAAATTATATTAAAAATCAATTAAATTGGGTATGGGTAATGGGAGAGAATCTAAATACCCAACTTGTGTATATATTTTATGTTGTAATTAATTAATTAATGGTTTTAATTATTTATATATTCCTTTAAGCATCATTTTGTTAAACAATTAATATATTTGAGGTGGGAGTGGTTTTCAAGTTGCAAAAAGGTCATTTAAATTATCACTTATTCTGAGTTTATGGTATCCTACAAATTACAATTACCAATTTATACTCTGTTTTTTTAATTTCAAGCGTTAGCAATTTTGGTTTCTTTTGTTCGGATTGATGCAGGGTCAAGGTTTCGATGGTTAATTCTTCGTCATCTTTTATGTTCGGTTCTCGGGTTTTCGTTTTAGTGATTTCCTTTATTGTTGTGATGACTTTTTTGTTGTTGTATTCTTTGTTAGGTTAAGATTACTTAGTTTGTTGCACTTCTTTGAGTTAAGGTAGTTCAAAAAAGTTGTTGGACCGCTCAAAGCGGTCGAATCAAGTCATTTCGGACCATTTTTGGCGATTTAAAGATCTGACGGTTCAATCAGATTTGAAAAATAGTTAAATCGCTCAGTCCGCTTTGGCCTGCAGTTTGAATATTTTTTGAGCGGTTTGGATCGAAACGACTGCCAAAATATACATGTATTAATTATATTTAGTTTTCATTTCTCAATTGTGCGTTTTACCCTATTTGGAAATTTTCGAAATCTATTAAAAATCCAAATCTAAAATTCCAAAATGTCATTCGACTTGCTCAATGCTTATCCAAATTCCAACAATTCTTGATAGACTTGTTTAATATTTTTGTTTGAGTAAGTTATAAAATTGATTTGTATGGTTTGGTGGTTATAACACTTTTGGTCCCTACATTTTCGAAATTACAAACTAGCCATTGTGGTATGCACAAACAACCAGATTTGGTTCCTCCCTCTAACGACCATTAAAAGATTTTGTAAAGTGAGGGACAATTTAGTCTTTTATCATTATGGTACCAGTCGTTTTTGCATTCCAAATCCAGTCGTTTTTGTAGGGATCAAAAGTGCTATAACCACCAAACTGCATGGACCATATTTGTAGTTTACTCTATTTTTTAAAATAATGTATATCGATAGATATTTCATTATCTAGACATATGTTGTGTTTCTTCTGGTTTAAACTCATTATAGATCCAAAAGTCTAAACCAATCAAATGGGAGTATTTTTGCCCGATTTGATCTTTTGCTGCTAAACTGCTCGACTTTATAAAAATTCCTAAGTTTATAAATCATTTGAAACTCGTTTGGTATTTACTGAATACGTATAGATAAAAAAAAGTTATTTTATTCTACAAATTTTAAATATTTTTGGGTTGCTATTTTTTTAATTTTTGAGATTTTTATTATAATTGTTTTATGTGAATACGTGTAATTCCATTTATAAAAATCAACATATTTATGATTACGTGTACAAGAAAATTAAAACAACAACCCTACCGACTTGCAAGAAGACAGTTTTGATGTCTATATCACCATAAACAACAAATTTATAAAAATAATATCATCGAAATAAATTGCAAAACAAGAGCATTATTTTGATTTGTTCGTGTCACATGATAATTGGTATCCCCTAATTAAATCAGATAAAATACAAATAAAAAAAAAATCACAAGGGACCGTTTTAAAGGGTTACTATCATAAATAATTATATAGGAAAAAAGAGTCATTTTCAAACTTTTTCTCGTAAAATAATCAAGAAAACCCAGATTTTTTCTTGTGGTGTCGCAAGTTGTAGCGTGCTCTTGCAGTGTCTGAAGCTGTGACTTTAGCTTGCTTTTTGTACATTGATGTATGTGTTTACGACAAGTTACAATGTATGTACATCTTATTCATTTAGATTCATCAGAAATCATAAAGAAAAGTGTCTTTACAGTTTTATTTTTAAATTTCATTTTTGTATATGAACCAAAGAACCTGTGATTAACCATAAGGGTGGTGCCTGATTGGTTTGAGTTTGACTCCAAAGATTTAAAAAAGTATCAGAAGTTCTCAAGTTCAAATCTAAAAGAAATAAAAATCTCTTTGTGGCTACGAAGGTTTAAATGTAATGACTCCGAGCTATCTGCAAAACATGTAATCATCCTGAGATTAGTTGATTCGGATAGTGGGTTGGATATCCAGGTTAATAAAAAAAACTGTAATTATATATGAAAAACAAAAGAGCGCGGTTGCATTGAATAGTACACCCGTGAGAACACGGAGCACAACACCAAAATGTATTGATTTGAAAAGGCCCACGGATTGTTTCATGGAACCACCTACTAACTTTTCTCATACACCTTTCTTTCCCCATTTTTTGGTAAAAAATAATAAAATCTATAATATATTATAAAGCATTTAATAAAACTCTTAAAAACCATTCTTTACGTATGAAGTATTGTTTATTAATGTACATTACTTAAAATTTAAGATTACAAGTAATTGTGCGTAAGTACAACTTATTAAAGCTCAATTTTTGAATTTGTATAACTAATTACAGATAAACATAATCAAATACAGGATAAACATTTCATTTTAAATATAAAAAATCTAAAACATAATTAGGGTAATCATTGAGTTCTAACAGAATTATTATCTTTATAAAAATTATATTGTTAAGCTAAAAATAGATTATAATAAAAATTTAAATTAAAGAAATTGTACAAAAAACAAGAATTTTTAAATCGTTAATTTGATATTAATATTGCTATATTTCAAATTTTTGTGATATCTTCGAATTTATTTTTATTTAAAAGTAAAAACATTATCTTTTACAGAACTATATAAACCGTATTATATTAACAGAGACAAAAAAAAAACGAAACACTAAAAAAATATGTATATCGATACATTGCGCGAGTACCCTTCTAGTATATCAAAATAAAACAGAAATTTGTTTTAGTTTTTCTTTATTTTAATACATTTTTTTTTATCTCAATCAACGTAATAACATTTTCTTTTTATATTCTTATCCATTATGACTGGTAATCTGGTAACATTTGATAATGTAGATATCAAGTTTATCATCTACATTGTCATAAATATTTTATTAACGGATATCCAAACCATAAAATATTATAAAATCAACATATTGGTATAAATAATTATCATTTTTTTGAAACTTTATTACGTTTATTAAGGAAAAAAGATGTTATTTATTATACTAGATAAAAAGTAGAAGCTAAATTAAACTTTGATGCATTTTAATACATTTTGTCTTATGCTTATTAAAGCATTTTTATTCTTAGTTATTTTTATTCCATGATTTTAATTAACCGATCATTCTGTTTGGATCTAAAATCGCTTATAACAAACCGTCTTTGTAGTCGAACACTAGTTTGCTAACTAAAGGTATACATAAACGATCAAATGGTTGTAAGAAATTCCTTTTAGGTGCAACCTTACCCAAATTTTACGTATATGTATAGCATTACATGCTTTAACGAATAATACATATATTCATTTAACTAAGAGGCTATTTCCCAAAATGACTGTCAGATAAACACTTTCCGATAAAAGCCATCACACTCACTAACTTTATTGGTAAGATTCTTCATCATCAAAATGGCATCGTATTCAACAGTCTTACGCTTCTCACGTAAACCATCGTTAACATACAAGTTAACATTGATTTAGAACGATAGTTCAAACTTCAAAAGATTAATCACCCAACTACAAATTGAGCACAAAAAGTACCCAAATCTGAACTCCTCATGTACTTGGCCCATGGGCCTGGCTAGCCTCGAAACCTGGTCCGATCAGGGTAACTTTTTTCAAGACCCGGTTAAAAGCCCATTGCTTAAAAAAATTGTCCTGGAAAAGCCAATCGGCCCGTTTTTCAACCACAAAGCACACGATTTCTTTTGGTTTACTAAAAACAGGCATGAAAGGCCCGGATTCTGAGCATCTCTAAAAACAAGCAATTACCCTTTCAATGTTTACGGGTTTCTTGGTGAATGGATCAAAAAAATGCGAAATCAACTTGCAGAAAATCCACAAAAAGAGGGTCATAAGAAGAGATAGAAAGCAGCAGCTTTAACAGAAACAATGTGTTACACGTCCCAGTATATGCACCTCCAGGACCACAAAGGCAGCAGCATCTGATACTAGCCCCAAAGAATCATGTGTCAAAACTTTGTTTTTTTTCTTTTCTTTGCCATGAACACAAGAACAAAACAAACACAAAGTAAAGCAAAACACCGGTAATATGAGTTATTCATTCGTTCTATCTGTTCTCGTTATTCTTGTTTGGTACTGGAGAGAGCAGAGCGGAATGCCGTTGATTTTTGTAATTTCATTTTCGCAATCAGGGAAGTGTAGCTCTCACTTCTTTCCTGTCTGTTCCAAAAGACTGCAAGACACGATTAACAGCTTGATAAGGAAACAGAAATTCAAAGGGATTTGTGGTGTAAGTAACAGGTTATGATATGGGTCCTGCTGAATTGTCCCCACAGAACAGGGTTGAAGTTGCCAAAATAAGGTCTCAGGTTCAAATCACCCCCTGCCCTAGGAGACTGATTTACCTCCTAATGATGGTCGTAGGACCCTATGGTAGAGTGGCTCAACATACATCCTACCCTCCCCAAACCCCACTCCTGGGTGGGATTATACTGGGTTGGTCTGGTTTGGCAGGACATGGTGGGTCCAAAATGGTCCCACTCAGCGCACCCACAACACTGGTCCCACAACCAAACCACTGCAAATCAGCAGGAGGTGGTGGTGCATGGGTTTGAAGTTGCCACCCAAAGTGGCAAACGGTCTACGAGAGCAACAAATAACAAATTCTGAACAGAAGTTGGGTACAAAAGTGTAACAAGCCATGTGGCCAATGATGAACCCACAAAGAGAACATTTGGGACTCGTGGAGAACAAGAACACTAATAAGGTTACAGATTGGAGGTAACCAGTAATGGGCAAGTTACTTTTAATACTTGTAACTATGACAGAGCTAAATCTTATACTGGAGACAGATCGCAAGAACAACCTCGGTTATGTTTCAGGTCACCAGAGATTGGTCGAATGGAGGAGTTCTAGCATCATCATTACCGTTCAATATACTTATTGCCGTGTTTCTGTTTTAATTTTTGTTGGGTAATCTGATTATTTCCAACTCCCGCATTCTATTTTGCAAACCAGCAAAGAAGCACATTCTATACTCGTGTGCAAAAATACAAAGTAAGGTTGCAAGAGAGATCTGAGATGATGGTATTATTTGTGTTGTGCGAAAGCATCAGAAAAAATTCTTCCGGTCCACAAATTTTGGCCTCTAAGAAATCCATGATGAAGATGTTTATAGGACTATTTTGGAAAACCAGCCAAGATTCAGGGAGAAGCAAGAGGTAAAACCAAGGGAAAAAAGCAAAGGACATATCCAAAGAAGATGATTATAAAGTTAGCACAATCTAAAGAAGCAGCAGAACGCAGAAGCTAGAGGTGAACTCTCACCAATTTGTAAGCTTGCAATCTAATAAAATTTCTAAGGTCCGGTTTTCTTCTTTTTAATTTTTTTAAGAGGGTGGGGGTGGTTAACAAATGAGCTGGGCACTCATAGACATACTTTCTGGGACTAGTTACAATATGTTAATTGCTGCAAAAATAGCAAGGGTAAACTATGCTTGGTATATGAAACAAACCATTAACAAAGAATAAATAAGAAAATACCTCGACCCCAAATCCTTTACGGTAAACATTGGTGAAGAGCTCAGGATCATCTGGCATTGGGCTTTCCTGTAGTTTCAGAGAAAGGAACCAGCAAGAAGAACGATCCATCAACGGTTGTACATTAAACCATGGAGTGAAAGGAATATAGTTCAAGAAATGCTTAATATCCATTAATTGAGCTGCTATTCAAGCCCTGCAGAAGATGGTCAAAAAGGAGAATTTTGAAAGGCTTGTTACCTTTGCCTTGGCAATGGCTTCATCAACTTCTTTTCTGGCTAGTTTCTCTATATCCTGGAAAAGGATGTCAAAAGCAGAAAAACATATTAGATTACCGTCAACTGCTTGATAAATAATCCATAAATCCTCAAATAAAAACTGACGAGAGATAAGATAGAAGAACAAACAATATAAAACACTCCGGTTCTAAACTTCTGAGCTAAATCTAAAAGCAGAGCAGCTCAAGGGCGCATTTCTATTCATTTAGGCCCTATAATGTTCAACATTTCATTTTATTTTATATGGTGCGAGGACAAACAAAGATGTGATTCTGGCCCATTTATTTGGTGCAAGGAGAATTGAGATGGGACCAGAACGGAGATTAACAAGCAAATGTAAATGGGGTAAACAAATATATTTATGAATCCGAGCATCACCTTCAGCTCTTTTTCAGTAGCTATATCATGAGCCAGTATCAACTTCCTTATCCTTTCAATGGGATCACGTTCCTGGAAGTAGCAACTTAGACATCAGTAACACGTGGTGCATAGAATGATGATTTCGACAGATATGTCAGAGATGAACCAACCTGTCTGACACCACTAATCTCATCACGGGTACGGTAGGTGCTACCAGGATCAGACATAGAGTGACCATGGTACCTGTAGGTGTCCATTTCCAGAATCTGAAATAAAAAATCAAGAAGAAACAGTTAACCACGTGATTATTAATTCCAACCTAAAAACAAATGCTTGTAAGGAACATTTTTTTATGTTTGCCATGATTGTATTGCACTTAGTGATAGGAGTCTGTAATATATGTATGCAAAACCACTATCCTAACCAAAATAAGAACTTCTTAGTTGTACAGTTCATCTATAGAAACTTACTAAGTAGTAAATTTATATAAAGAAAAAAACAATCAACCCTACTGAAACACTCTTTAAGGTTAGAACAGGAGCTACAGCGTCATGCATCGATCTACAGGCCTAACCCCAATATTAGGCTATATACTCTAGAAGGGTATAGAAGAGGTAATTCTAAATAAATTAATAATATAAGTAGGAGTGTGGTGGGGAGAATAGAGGGATCCATGAAATATTGTGTCTGTGTGTGTGTTTTCTTAGGAGAGCTCTCGCCTCTCGAATAGTCAGAAACTGTTCCTTTTATTGTTAATTGATTCATCCAACAGTTGTTCTTACCAATCGGCCTCTATTTCCATTGTTAATTGGTCCATTTCATAACAAATTGGTATTACAATTGAACAATGGAAAAGAGACCGATTGGTAAGAACAACTATTGGATGAATCAATCAACAATAAAAGGAACAGTTTATGGCTATTCAAGAGACCAGAGCCCTCCTAAGAAACAACGCACACACACACAATATTTCATGGATCCCTCTATTCTCCCCACCACACCCCTACATATACTATCAATTTATTTAGAATTACCCAATTACCCCTTCTATAAGCTTCTAGAATATATAGCCTAATATTAGGGTTGGCCTTTAGATCGACGCATGACATACAACAGAGCAGCTATCCTGGACCAAGTTAGGATTTATATAAATGACACTTGTGGATGTACTTTAGACTCTACAGTTTCTATCATGAGGGCCTCAATTTTGACATGAAAAACAGACATAAAAATTCTGACTACTCACAATAGGTCCATTCTTTAAAGCATGTTCCTTTGCAAATTTGCAAGCTTGTTTGACAGCAAATGCATCCATACCATCTACCTGCAGAAGGATATGAATTACCACCATCAGCAATAATTATAGAGCCAAATTGAACATATGAGAGATCTGATAATGAAATCTTGATACTTATCCTGCAAAAAAACTGTGACTTTCATTATAATATACTAGAGTTGGGCTTGACATTGGGTACCAAGTTACCAGCACATAACCAGCATGGCACATGTCTACAAGTAATACAGGCCAAATGCATCTTTCCTCCCCTTAAACAACATATAAAGCATCAGCAAAATGAAACTACATCTTTGATATTTCCAGAAATTCCAGACAGATGGATCACATACAAAAACATAGGCCATGTTTCATAAGAACTGCTCCATCCAAATATAATTTCTAGGCATGCTTCTTTGGGAGCTATCCAGTCCACTAGTTTGCAAATATTTGCTTTAAGTTTGAAACTATAACCACATTAAAACAAACTGAAAAACTCCAACTAAATGGAGAACAAGCCCCTGAAGTTCAAGGAGCGTTGTGGCAAATTTCATGGCAAGGAGATGGTACTGTATATAAACACTTGGTGCAAATCAGTAACTAGTTGAAGGCATCGCTTTGTCTCGGCTACGGGCTACCTTTTGTTATTTCATCTTTGGAAAACACATAGTAATCTCAAAACCTTAGCTACCAAGAGCAAGTCCATGCAGAATTTCCAACCGATTCTAAAACATTATCAAATGACATGTGCTGATGAGATAACATTTAGAGTTCAAGCAACTTCTAAGATGCGAGAAATCAAGAGTAATAGAGTCAAAGTAACCACCAAGTATTCTTAAAAAAGCGATTTCACGAGCCATGGTGCATTGAATACTTGATGGAACTTTTTATTTCACCAACTTCACCTTTACAGTGCTTCTTGGTTAAAGAAGATAACATACACAATCCTCCGCCTTCTTTTTGCAAAAAGGGTGTAAAAATTAAAGAAGAACACGAAGAACAGAATATTATCACCTAAACCTAGCATCTAAAATATTCTTGGGAATAAAGTCACCAAAAACAGGAAATAATGGCCTTCCAAGTTCCAACCAGAAAAAGGAGTACATCTTAACATCTATAGGGAAAGTAAAGACAATTCTTTTGGACAGATTTACAATTGACTAAATCAATATACAAGTTAACAAAATGATTTTATAAAATGTTTATTCAAAAAAAGGGTAATTTAGTAACATATGATTTATCCTAAAGGTCAGATGAGAGGAAGAAAATTTCTGAAGCGATTTTTTTGAAAGATGGAGACAGTGATGGTGATAATAATATCAGTAAAAAAGTGATAATATTTAATCCCCATCACAATGTAGGGACCAAACTCACCTTCAATCCTGGAACATAATCTCCTCGCTTGTAATAGGCAGGACTCTTTGCAGCTCTCCATTCGGCTGTACCCATACCATCTGCATGCCAATCCAAGAAAAGTCAGTTGCATATAATGTGTGTCCATGCGTTCCCACAAGCTCAAGAAACAACCAACATATGAAAACTGATCTACTTTTCTACTCCAAGTCAATCAATAGATACAGACAAACACGCATGATTGATTTATAAATACCACTCCCGCTATTCTTGAAACAGGCTTCATTGACCACTAACTTGCTAGATTTCCAGAGAACACCACTCCATTTTGAATTCAAGGAGATTCAATTCCGATTTCTTACCCAAATATTAAATCCGTAAATTTTATACATAATTCACTGTACTCAATTAACTTACAACTATGAACTTCCAACCCAAAAACTCTTTGAAAAGAATCAAAGATATAAGTAAAAGAAAAAGAAAAGGGCCTTAGCGCCTTAAAAACTCATTCAATTATGTCTCTGAAAGTACACACACACACACACACCCCTTTCTCTAGTTTCTCTAAATTTTGATTTGCTAATTTGTCGGTTGCCTTATCATGTCAATTCATGCCCCTAGAGATAGAGCTTCAAGTTCAAGTTAAGCTCAATGTATATGGTCCAAAAACCAAGACCAAAATGTAGACAGATAGCTTACTATAAGTCTATAACCAAGTAAAGTGGTACTATCAAGATATAATTAGAAACAAATCTTCCGCCACACAAATCAGACTTAAAAAAGCCTAAAGAAAATTTGCTGGTGTGTTCAGAAGAGCTGAATGCCAAAATAATTAAACACTTCCATACTCTAGGCCAACCAACTCATCCAATTATATATCTGACACTAATTACACATGCACATGTTTGATATGTCCATTAACTAGCTACGCTGTCACTTCTTAAAGTCTCTAAATAACGTTCATGAGTGTTTTGACTAATTTCAATTCGAAAACTTGAATAACAAATCAGCATACACTCAAGTGACCAAGTTCATTGATACTTTCCTATAATCAAACATAAAATACAATCAATCATAAATGTTTTCAAGATAAAAAGCCTTACAGTGATTGTTCTCGCAAACCAAAATAGCAGGCAAGTCCCAGAGAGCAGCCATATTAAGCGCTTCAAAAAGCTGTCCTTGATTCGCAGCACCATCACCATACATGGTAAAAGTGACATGATCTTCCTTCCTGTACTTCTGAGCAAACGCCAATCCACACCCTAACGGAACCTGAGCTCCAACAATCCCATGGCCTCCGAAAAAACAAGCATCTTTCTTATAAAAATGCATCGAGCCTCCTTTCCCCCTGGAGCAACCCGCTTGTCGACCCATAAGCTCAGAAAAACTCTCCAATAGCGTCCCGCCGCGCCCTAGAAAGATACAATGATCGCGATAGGCGGTGATTATGCAGTCCTTCTTCGTAATTGCGGCCTCCATCCCTATGCTGACAGCCTCTTGTCCATCATAAAGATGACAAAACCCTCGGATTAACTTGGATTTGTAGAGAGAGTCGGCGGCGATCTCCATACGGCGCATAAGTGCCATATCGGTAAAGAAAGTCATGAGTTCTTTCGGAGTAGTATCAATGGATCGAGACGGCGGTTCGCAGTTGTGGCCGGTGAAGGGCACGCTTGTTTCAACAGTGATGGTGGTTGAGTCATCGGTGGAGAAGGGACGCCGATTGAGGAAAGACGAGGAGGAGGCGGTGGAGAGGGGCTTGAGCAGATTGGAACTCCGGCGAGCCAAAGCCATATCGTCGGCGGTTTTATGACCGATCGATAGATCGAAGCGGTAGGTTTGGTGAAGGGGTGGATGCTGGAGAAGAGCCGCAGACAGAACAAATGATAATAAAGTAAATCAGAGTGGGAATGAAATAAGTTTTATAAAGTGGGATTTTTATTACAAATTAAAATTAAAATTAAATTATAAGTGGGACCCACTCCTGGTCAATTGCGAACCACTTCCATTCCGAATTTTGTGAAATTTTCATAACCAAAATACTAAAATGCTCTTTATTTAACAGCCATTACGGAAGGGGATAATTTTGATCACTTTTACAAACCACAAGGACTAAATTGTAACTTTTAAACTGAAACTATAGAAGAAAGAGCTAAAAAAAAACTTGTAACTAATTAATTATTTATTTATTGGATTTAAAATATCATAACAATTTTTATTTTATTTATATTATGTTATAAATATTTGAGAAAAACTCTTAAAAATTATTTTTTAATTCATATTGTTTATTAATTTATATTACTTAAAATTCAAGATTACAAGTAAATTGTACGTAATTACAACTTATTAAGTTTCATGTTTGAATTCGTGTAACTAACCGTAGATAAATATTATCATAAATACACGATAAAATTCTTATTTTGAATATAAAATCTAAAATATAATTAAGATAATTACTGAGCTTTAATAAAACATTTAGTTATTATCCTTATAAAAAATTATATTATTAAACCAAAAATAAATTATTTCGTCATTAGAACTAAATTAAATAATTGAATTAAAGAAATTACACAAAAAGATGCGAACTTTTATAATTTTTTTAACTTTTATGATATGTTCAAATTTATATTTTATTAAAAAACATTATTGTTTGATCAAAACCACATGAATTTGTATTATAACATCGAGATATTCCAAAAAAAATAAAATAAAACATTGAAATCGAGATATATCTCACTACATTGTACAAATACCATTTTTATAAAATGTTTCATTTGAAATAACATGAACCAAATCAGCTTAAGTTTGTTTATTGTTTTTATATGTATTTTTATTATTTACTCATTATTAAGATAATATTAAATATTTAAGCAATAACAAAAGCAAGAGTACAAAAATGACATTTATTTCAAGTTTGGTTAGAGTTTTTGTCCAACCATCATAAGTGCTACAATTACAAAGAAAGTTTGACTCTTTTGACTTATTTTTAATTTACAAATTATTAGAATCTTATTATCAGACCATTCAAGTTGTTTCATGAAGTGAATCATGATTTGTAATTTAAAATTTACAATAAATTTAATGACTAACTTTAAATAACAACTATTATAAATAAAAATATACAAAATAACAATAACATAAAATAAAAATGTAATAATAAAAAAAATATTAAGTAATAAGAATTAAAAAAATTATAATAATATATTACTAGATGTTTTTTTTCTAGTTATCATAAAACATAAAGCTCAATTTTGATTAAAAAAATAGACTCAATTCATAAGAAGAATCAAGTCAACCACAAGGGAGGCGTCTTTTGAGCTTGACTTCAAAGATCAAAAGTACCTGGAGGTCTCAGGTTCAAATCAATGAGAAATAAAAATCCTCTCGTGGCTACGGATGTTCAAATGCGGTGACTCCGGACTATCTGCAAAGCAGGTCGTCGTCCTGGGATTAGTCAGCTCGCATAGCGAGTTGGATATCCAGGTTAATAAAAAAAGAATCAAGTCGAATCCAAATGGTATGGACCGATTTGGCCTATTGCAAGAGGGAAGAGAGAAAACTGTCCGTGGAACAGGAAAAGCATATTTTTGCAAATATTCTAAATAAATCTCTCCTATTACTAAATAAACTTCCTTTATCAATTTCATACTCATAAACAACGATAACAACAGTCTTTTCATATTTTCAGTTACAATGAAAATGATCACGATTTGGCTCATGAATGGGAATTGTGATCAAAAGGATTTTGAAGTCATTTTGCTTGATTCTGAAGTTGAACAACGCATCCCATTTCGATAGAAATATGAATCATTCATATCTTATGATGATCGCTGATAATTACCAAATAAATAGTTGTCCTAAAACGCTACATTTGTTAATTTTGTCTATTTTGAAACGTTAAAAAATAATATTATTTGTTAAAGTATATGTTAAATACATAAATTAGATAATTTTATTATAAATATGTGTTAAAATAATATCTTTTTACAACATGAGTAAATGGTTGTTTGACAGTTATTAAATGATTTGGTGGAGAATGATTAAGTGGTCAAAATGATTAAGAGACTCTCATGATATAATGCAAAATGAAATATAATTGTTTAGAATGGAATTAGAGCGCTAAATGGTTAAGGGACATTCATAATACAAAAGATAATTCAGATGATCTAGAATTATTAAGAGACAGACTTTGTTTTTGCCAAACAAGATTTATCTTTTAACGATTTAAAGATTATTTTTTAATAAAACTATTAAGAAGTAAAGAAATAATAGATAAATAATACTACAATATAAACATGAAATGCATGGAAAGCACTAAATAGACATGAGGAAATCACAAGTAAAATGTGTTTTCTACTTCCGTGCAAATCGCATGACCAAAATAACACATAATTAAATCGAGAATTTTAATCGTTTATATGGAAATAAATGAACTTGGGTAATATTTTATTATTAATATATCACATGGATAAAATAATTTATTTTAGATAAAAATTGATTAAAAGCTGAATATGATTTCATGAGCATCTTCAACAGATTGTTTAAAATAAAAAAAAATAGAAAAAATGGAAATTATAAACTAAAATCGACCTCTAATAGATTCCCCATAAAGTATCTCTAGAATATGACACTTCTAACTTAACATGACAAGATCATCTCCAACAAATCTATACTATATTATAAAGCATTTGGGTTAAACTCTTAAAAACCTTTTTCAATTCATCAAGTATGTTTAATGATGCATATTACTTAAAATTCAAGATCACAAGTAAATGATGCATGGATACAACTTTTTAAAGCTATATGTTGGAATTCAATAACTAACTGATAAACATAATCAAATACATGATACAAATTCCATTTTAGATATAATTAAGATAATCATTAAATTCTGACAGAATACTTAATTATTAATTTTTATAAAA